CAGTTATTTCAATGAGTTTGGGATGCTGATTCTAGCAGGGTATGAAAGGTGGCCATAACTCTCTGTTCAGAGGGGACAGAGCTCAAGAGGTCAGGCTTTGTAGGAAGCATTTTGGAATGAAAAGGCTTATGGACAAAAATTAAGTTCAGCTTTCTCTTTGATAGTTGTTTTTTTGGAAACTTCCCCCAAATCCCAAACCAGCAGCAGAAGTGCTTGACCTCACACAGCACTTAGAGATTTCTTTTAGGCGAGGGTGGCAGTGTCCTCTGCCTCTGACACCAGCTGCTCTGCATCCCACCTACCCGTAGCAGTGCTGGGGGACTCTTGTTCCTATTACTTGAGTAAACTCTTCCATAATTCTACTTGACTTTTTCTTCTTAGTGGCCAGTAACTTCTCATTTGTTCTCCTGATAAATACCAGAACTTCAGCTAAAAATGGAGAAGTCGTCTAGCTTCTCTTACTTTGTAAAACCCTGTCAGTGGGGTGCTGTGGTAGAGTTTTGGCAGATCCCCCCAGCAGTCAGAGCTGTCCGTCTGCAGCTTCTTGCTGCTGTGCCTGCCTGCCCCTTGGGCAGAGACAGCAGGAATGGACATTGCTTTAGTAGCTTTTTGCATCTGGTGCATTAATTTACACCTCGATTTGTCTTCCCAGGCCAGACACTCCAAGATGTGCAGTAAGGATTTGTCTTCCCAGGCCAGACACTCCAAGAAGATGTGCAGTAACAAACGCATGGCTAATTTTTCTAACACGGGGTCCATTTTGGACTCTTGTTCTAGAGATGCTGACAAGGAATTTTGATTTTCAATAATGTTTGAAGAATCCAGTCACTCAAGCAAAGTGGGAAACTTGCCTTTTTTTGAGCAAGTGGTCTTCCCTCATCAATTTGTATAGTACTGAAAATTAAAAATAGCTCTTCAGCTGGGGTACAGCTGTGCAGCATTGACTTAAATGGAGCTGCACTGACTCACAACAAGCAAGCATCTGTACATAGCCCTTTACTACTGCAAACCACAAAATTTAACACTAATGGTAAGTAAATACTGGCATGGCACTCACAGGAGCTGGAGGGCAAGCTGGCTACCCACCGCTGCTCCCCACAGGTGTGACAAACTACAGGGCAGCAGTTCGAGGACAGGTTGAAATTAGTTGCCTGTTTAAAATCCTTTCTCCTTCTCAGCACATGAACAATGTGTCTTCTCAAAGGCACTAGTCTCTTAGTTCATGAGACGTCCTCTGTGCCTTCTTTCTTGTCTTTTTTCCCCTCATACTGACTTTTGCACTAGCTATAGTAATTCCTTTGATTTCTAGGGCATGAAACCATTCTCCCTCCTCTCCAATAAACAGAAAACAAATATTAGTAGTCAGGGAGCAGATATATTTCCATATGAAAAGTAGCAGAAGCTGTCTGTTCAAGGCTGACATTACAGAATTAAGGTATGTGAACAACACCATCCTGAGCCTTATGATTTTTAAAAAAAACATTTTAACAGACATAACCACTTTTTTCCCTTGTGGCTCAGAATGCCTAATCCAAATCCCTAGTTGGATATATTCAGCACTAATACAAGGCACAGCAAAACCCATCAAACCTGAAGCAGATTCTCCCATGATGTCTAGTTTCCTACTGAGGCTGGTGGTACTCATGATCCACTAATACCAATATAAAAACTCTCCAGTGAGGCCAGGTTTTCCTCCCATGGGGCTGTGTGTCAAGCTGTGCCTGAAATTTAGCGTTTTCAGTCTAGAGCACGATGGACTTCACCTCCACCACCGCCACTTCCTAGTTTTTGGTAGCAACTTCTTCCTCTCTCGCCCCTGCCCCATACCCAGCTCCCTGGGAGCTCTGGGGGTTCCCCGACACCCCTCAGGCCCACAAGCCCCCACCAGTGAGAATAGCTGGAACCAAGGAGGGAAATGAGAGTGGCACAGCTTTCAGGTCACACTTGGGGGACAAAGAACTGCAACACACAGAGAATGCTCTCTTGGGAGACTCCTTGCACAACTGCCTCTTTACGTAGGCTGACGTGGTGGGTCAAGTATCAGATAGAGGGAAAAGCACTGTACATGATGTTAGACCACTATTAGAGTATTTGCCTGCTGAAGGAAAGCTCCCTGTCCTTTCTAATGAATTCTCTGCATTTAGCATTAAGCTCTCTGTTTTTACAGAAAGTTACACTTGGGTAATTAATCTCATGTTCGTTTCCTGCACATGTAAGCGAGCAGCCTTTGTTAGGGAATGATAAGACACTTCTAAGAATAGTGCTACTAAGAGCATCAGCTTTGTAAGACATTACAGGAAAAATACAGACTCTTAACACCTGCTTTTCACTTTTCAAAGTTTTGAAAATAATGTTCTGTTTACCTTGAGTCAATTTCTGACTTGTTTATGCACAGAAAACCTAATTGCTTTCATCAGAGAACAAGCGTAAATGAAGGTATACTTTGGTCTTTAGGCTCCAATCTCACAAATATGTATTTGTTTAATTTTATAAACACTGTAAATATTCCCAGTGGCATCAGTGGGACCCTCTGCAGCCCCCATCTCACAACCTGAATTCATCCCTTTTTCTGGTCTTTTAACTACAGATTCCACTGAAATTAATTGGATTTTCTTAGTGATTATAATAGATTGAGGATTAAGAATTTATCTGTGTGTAAAACAAGGGACCCTGAAGCCAGACCTTACAGAGGCCAGATGCTGAACTCAGGAAAATGCAAACTGGGAGACAAGCCCGTGAGAGCAACTGAGTCACTCCAGTGTAGGAGAGATCCCACTGAGCAGCAGAGCCAGCCTGCATTTGAAGCTCCCTGAAAGCTTCAGCTCAGAGCATGGGTTTTGCCAGCTGAACACAAAGGGTGGTGTAAAGCTTGGGGATTTATGTATGTTGTCAGTTCAGAACTAGAGCCAACACCATTCTCCTGTAAGCGGTTGACACTTGACACCTATTGAAGTCAGTTTAAACAGTCATTGTTTTAAAGCTTGTGTTGTTTTTAAGCAGTCACTGTGGTTCAGCCCGAACTATCTACCACCCCGGTGCAAGATGCACAAGCTACCATGCTGCTGAAACTATATAAAAAGTGGGAAAAAATAGTTTACAGTGGTTAAGGGACAATTTCCATTTGTTTTGCAGCATCCACTGTGTAACCAGCCATATGAGAAAGGACATTAATCTTTGCTGTACTTGCAGCAGATTTCTTTCTGCTTTATTTTGGACAAAGGAGCAGTTTATCCTCCTAACCAGAAAACAAAGCCTAATCTGCAGAGATCTGGCTAATCTAGTGGTTGATGTTTGAAGAATAACATAGTCCCAATTTCCCTAGGTTTGTAGTGCAAAATCTGAACAGAGCAGACTGCAACTAGTCTTGTTAGCTGATCAGAGCCCCTGTTGTGACTATTATCTTGACTGTATAATGGGGGCTTTCAAATCCCAGCTTTATCACATTCTGTTTTCTCTACTTTGCCCTTTTATGAATATTGAGTCATCAAAAATAGCTTCACTGACAGAGTTACTAATGATACCAGCTGGGTGAATCAGTGGCTCTTACATTGTCTAGTGCCTGCTATACAGTGCTATTAGTACTCTTATTACAAATATAACAAAAATTAGATATCTATATTTTATTTGCAGCTCCCTTGAGACACATCATAGTGGTTATTTTAGAATTGGAAAATGCTAACTGAACAAAGCAAATATTCAGACATTTCAATGCAATTGAAATGCAGTCGATGCAATTGATCAATTTCAATGTGATCTAAGGGAAGAAACTCTGGCTTAGAATAAGTTAAAAGTAAATTCTAACATCAGTAAATTATCCTTTCTCCTAGTTTTTAGTGGAAAGAAAAAATACACAACCAAGTTATAGCTACCGCATTCTTCACGAAACAGTTATTCCTTATATTACTAGAAAAAGCTCACATCAGCAATCCAGAAAAAATGCTGATAAACAGAAGTGAATACGACAAATGATGTAAGCAACGTATATGGCTCGGGAGCGTGACATACATATGGTGGCATCCTTCTAGTACAGTGCAGTGCTCGGGGGTAAGTTAGGTTAGAAGTGCATGACTCTAATGAGTATTACCGATTCCAAAAGTGTAACAACAGTAACAACATGCCTGATGAAGAACCATCACAAATGAGTATGCAAAATGGCCCACGACGGGCTTACATTTTTAATGCCGTCCCAAGCAATTTTTAAAGGGTCATTTATTTCTACCCGGAATGCCTTCCTCGCAGCCCTGCAATGATACAGTTTCCTATGTTTGCTACACACCCCCTTTTATTTTTTTTCTTCTCCCCCCCCCCCCCCCCTCCCCGAAAAACAGGCAGGCAGATACAGAACGAAACAAGGGGCCCCCTTTGCACATAATGCAGCCGCAGTTCTCCATGCACGCAGGGCTCACTGCTTCTCCCCAGCCCCCGGCACCTTCCAGCTAGCAGGAACTTTACAGCATGGCATCTTCCAGTACCTCTTTATCACAGACAAAAAGTAAAGCCTCCTGCTAGCAACTGCATCTGGCATATTAAACTGGTATATAAAACTACTGCAGATGTTGCCTTTAGCAAGTGTCATAGAAATTACACAGCATCTTAACAAAGCAGACCTTCAGAATTTAAAGTATTAGCTTTCTTCAGGAGGTTCTTGCCCTTCCCTGGAAAAGTGACATCTGAAATCCTGTTACAACAATTCTGTTAGAACAATTACGGCAACATTAACTGAAACCGTAATGTGGTTTTTAACCTAAGATATGTTGCATAACAACTGAAACATTATAATCTTACGAGCCGGGAAAGGTTAATTCCAAAGGGCACAAGAATATCGGTGAAAACTAAAATGCTCCACCAGCGCACGGACTTGCAAATCTTTTTGTTTTGGTCCAAGGCGAAGCCGAAACCGGCGAGACATTTGAAAGGCAGAGCGAGACACGGAGCACATGCCGAAATCAGCTTAGAGGGGAAAAAAAAAAATATTATATTAGCAGAGACTCTGCACTTACGTATCTCTTGAGTTTCTTCTCGGGGGGTGATTTAATGAGCCATCCAGTGCAAACAACGTCCCCTGAGCTCATCTTCCCCCCCGGCGCGGAGCGGCGACGCGGGAGCCAGGGTGCGGGCTGCGTGTGTCCGCCCGTCCGTGTGTGTGTGTGTGTGTGTTTGTGTGTATTGTTCCCAGCCAATTTGAACCCAGCCAGTAATCAGCTTCCTTCAGCTGTGCTCTGATACTGCTCCAGCCCGAGGAGGAAGTCATGACATTGATCACTGACACGGCCAGCCCTCCCTCCGCCGCAAACACAATGCAACACACCGAGCACGTGATGGGCGGCCGGG